CTACTAGCTATATTTTCATGGGGGAATAGATTGAAGGATAAAGGCACCCAGGAAGGCTGGGAGCTTCTAAGGGGCATAGTATTGGAAGTCCAACAAGAAACTGTCCCAACAGGATGGAAGCAGAAGAAGAAACTATAAGCCTGTTAGTCTTACCTCGGTCCTGGGGAAGCTTTTTGAGAAAATTATCCTGGCGCACGTCCACGAGAGGCTAGCAGGGGAGACTATGCTTAGGGGCAACCGACATGGGTTTGTTAGAGGCAGGTCCTGTCAAACCAACCTGGTGGCCTTCTACGACTAGGTCACAAAAGCCTTGGACGCAGGTGTCGCGGTGGACGTTGTGTTTCTGGACTTTAGGAAGGCCTTCAACACAGTCTCTCGCCCCATTCTCATTAAAAAACTAGGAGACTGTGGTGTTGGTGCCTACACAGTCAGATGGGTCACTAACTGGCTGGAGGGCTGCACCCAGAGAGTGGTGGTGGACAGGTCATTTTCGACCTGGAGGGATGTGGGCAGTGGGGTCCCCCAGGGCTCGCTCCTCGGGCCCGCACTGTTCAACATCTTCATCAGCGACTTGGACAAAGGGGTAAAATGAACCTGTTCAAATTTGCAGATAACACTAAGATGTGGGAAGAACTGGACATACCAGAAGGGAGAAATAGGCTGCAATCGGACCTAGACAGGTCACAGGGGCAGGATGGGTTTCAATACTGACAAGTGCAAGGTATTGCACCTACGGAGGAAGAACCACAGCACACCTACAGGCTGGGGAACTCCCTTCTCATCAGTGCAGAGGTAGAGAAGGATCTTGGAGTCATTATTGAGGCCAATATGAACATGGGCCGACAGTGTGGGGATGTGGTCAGGAAGGCCAACCATACCTTGTCATGCATCCACAGATGCATCTCAAGCAGGTCCAAGGAGGTGATCCTCCCCCTCTATGCAACACTGGTCAGGCCGCAGTTGGAGTACTGCATCCAGTTCTGGGCACCGCACTTCAGGAGGGATGTGGACAGCATCAAGAGGGTCCAGAGGAGGGCCACCCACATGATCAGGAGTCAGCAGGGCAGGCCCTACGAGGAGAGGCTAAGGGACCTGAACCTGTTCAGCCTCTACAAGAGAAGGCTGAGGGGGGATCTAGTGGCCATTTACAAACTAGTCAGGGGGGATCAGCAGGCATTGGGGGAGTCCCTGTTCCCCCGAGCACTCCCAGAAGTGACAAGAAATAACGGTCACAAGCTGGCAGAGGGTAGATTCAGGCTAGATTTCAGGAGGCGCTACTTCATTGTCAGGGCGGCTAGGATCTGGAACCAACTTTCAAGAGAAGTGGTGCTGGCTCCTACCCTGGGAGTCTTTAAAAGGAGGCTAGATAAACACCTGGCTGGGGTAATTTGACCCCAGTACTCTTTCCTGCCATGGCAAGGGGTTGGACTTGATCTGCTCAGGTCCCTTCTGACCCTACCAACTATGAAACTATGAAACTATAAGAATGGCAGAAGACCAATGTGGCTACACAAGGAGCTTCTGAAATGCCTCAAATGCAGAAGGAAAGCATACAGGCAATGGATGAATGGGCAGGTCACCAAGGAAGCATACCAAGAAATAGTAATAACCTGTAGGGACACAATCAGGAAGGCAAAGATAAAGAACAATATGCACCTGGCAAAGGAAGTTAAGGACAGCAACAAGAAGCTCTATAAGTGTATTGGCCAGAAAAGGAGGACCAAGGAAGCTGTGGGTCCTCACTTAAGCCAGGGGGAACTCCTAACTAAAGATGCAAAGGTGGAGCTACTCAACAGCTACTTTGCCTCAGTCTTCACAAAAAAATAAGCTGCAGCTGAACACCTAATAGGGATTATCTGAATAAGGAAGGGAGGAAGCTGAGAAAGGAGATAATAAAAGAGACTGTCAGAGGGCTTTTGTTGGGTCTGAATGAATTTAATTCAGCAGAGTCATATGAGCTTTATCCCAGGTTCCCGAAGGAAATGACAGAGGAAATCTCAGAGCCCTTGACAATGATTTTCATGAAGCCGTGGCAGACAAACCAGGTATCAGAGGACTAGAAAAGAGCCAATGTAGCGCCCCTCTGTAAAAAAGGAAAAGAGGAGGATCCTGGGAACTACAGGCCTCACCTCAATACCTAGGAAGTTATGGGAACATGTCCTAAGGAAGTCCATTTGCAAACATCTGGAGGAGGAAAAGCTGACCACAAGCAGCCAGCGTGGATTTATGAAAATTAAAGCATGTCAAAGAAACATGATTTTCTTCTTCGACAAAGTAACTACTTGTGTGGATGAAGGGAATATTGTGGATATAGCATATCTGGACTTCAGCAAAGCTTCTTACCCAGTCCCACATGTTCTTCAAAATAACAAATTGAAGAAATGTGGGCTGGACAAAACTACTATAAGGTGGATAGGTAACTGGCTCAATAGCCATAAGCAAATGGAAAATATTAACAGGTCCATGTCAGAATGGCATACGTTTTTGAGTGGAGTCACATAAGGGTCTGTCCTGCCCCAGTGCTGTTCAACCTAGATGCTGGCATAGAAAGCTTCTTGAGCAAGTTTGCAGATGACATGAAACTGGGAAGGACTGCAAACACATTGGAGGATACAAGTGCAATTCAGAAAGATCTCAACAAATTGGAAAGTTGGACAAGAGCTAAGAGGATAAAGTTCAATGTGGACAATGCAAGATGCAGCCTCTCAGGAGGAATAATCAAAAACACAAATATAAAATGGGGGACACCTGGCTGGATGGCAGCATTAGGGAAAAGGATTGGAGTCTTGGTAAACCACAGGCTCAATATGGGTTTGCAGTGTGATGCAGCTACACAAAAGGCACATGTGGTTTTGAGATATATCAACAGAAGCATTACGTGTAAGATATGGGAGGCAATAATGTCTCTCTACTCAGCACTGGTTAGGCCTCATCTGGAGTAGCATGTGCAGTTCTGGGCTTCCCATTGTAAAACAGATGTGGAGAAGCTAGCGAGGGTCCAGAGGTGGGCAACAAAGATGATTAAGGGCTTGGAAAGCAAGTTTATGAGGAGAGGCTGAAGGAGCTGGGCACATTCCACTTATGGGAAAGGCACTTAAGAGGGGACAGGATGTCAGTCTTCAAACAGTTGAAGGGATGCCATAAAGGGCGAAAACACCTTTTCTCTCTTGCTGCAGACAGGAAGATGTGGACCAATTACTTGAAGTTGCAGCAAAGTAAATTTAGATTGGATATCCAGAAAAAACTTCTTCACTGTGAGGATAATGAGGCAGTGGAATAGACTGCCTAGGAAAAATGCAGATTCTCCATCACTGGAGGTGTTCAAGAAGAGGTTGGACAGTCACTGGTCAGGGACAATGTAGGTGTAGCTAGGCCTACAGTCTGCTATGGATATTTCCCATGCTTCTGGGCTGGTTGCTGCCCCCCCCCACATATTTGTTAGAACATTTTTAAGCCTTCATAGTTTCATAGTTGGTAGGGTCGTAAGGGACCTGAGCAGATCATCTAGTCCAACCCCCTTACCATGGCAGGAAAGAGAACTGGGGTCAAATGAGAGGCATTGGGTGTTGGCTACAGCCAAGGCTGGGGACTTTGAATGGAGTATGCCGGTCCTCCTGCTGGGACCAGAGCTGTAGGTTCCTGGACAGAGCAGTGACAATGCTTATGGGGTACACAGGGGTGCACGTGCACCCCCCTGAGATTGCTGGTGCACCAGTTGTCAGGCTGCACTCCCTGTTTAGGCGACGGGCAGGGGGGCAGGCAGGAGTGCTGGTGCCCCCCCTGAGAACGCCGGCTGGGGAGCGGGGCTGCCAGCTAAAGTGGCCACAGGACTTCTGGAAAGGGCGCAGCCACTCTTTGGTGAGTAAGATCGCCGCAGCCCCCACGCCCCCAGTGAGATACACGTAACCCCCCCCCACCCCAACTCAAGAGGCACCAGTCGCCCATGGGATAGAGGGTCTTGCCCCTCTGCTCGGGGTCAGACTGATCGCCATATTTGGGGTCAGTCTGCATCTCCTGTTCAACTTGGCATCTCCTGCTCATTCTTGGATTCAAGAATAGAAAGCCTCCACTGAAGTGGCATAACTGATGCGTTTAGAGGGTGCTTAAGGCATTTTAATGCCCCTTCACTAATGACCGCTCTCATTTGAAACACCTTTATGACAGTTTTAAGGTAACCTGTGCCAAAGCCCTAAATCTTTGGCCCAGAGCGGTGGTCGGTGCCTGCCTGCAAGCATGCTATATGCAAAGCGATGTGGAACTTGGCAGACAACAGCGCTGAGCACCAGAAGGGACTCATTGGCAGCAGCTTGTGAACTATGTCACCTGATCAAGATGCAAAGGGGAATATGGGGCAACTGGTGCCAATGGTGAGAACTGCCTTCCTGGCAGTGAGATGGGGTGGCGGAACAAAGGCACAGCAGTGATGCTGCCAGGGCCTTTCAAAGGGAGCCTCAGGACACCAGGCTGACAGGATGGGGCCATGAGAACAAGCTGTGCCAGCCCCCGCACAGCACCCAGCTGACCAAAGCAGAGCAGCAAAGAGGGGAGACTAACCGTGGGTTTTATGTGGTTTATTTAACAGGCAGGGAGCAGCTGAAGGCCTGCCCTGCTGGGTATTCCTGGGTTTTGGGGTACACAGGGCCCTGCTGGCCTGTGGGGCCTCACAGCAGACTCGCTCAGGCTGGGGGGCACCGTTCCTATGCACAAGACCGGTGAGAGAGCGCCCGGCTGCCCCAGCGCGCTCTGAGCGCACACACCTGCCGGGAGCGCTCCAAAGTGCGTCAGCACCCGCGCGGCGGCCGGGAGCGCGCCTCGCCTACGCACTGCAGCCTTGCTCTGACACAGGAGCAACAGCGACTACCCTGAGGGGCGGGGCCTCCACAGCCCCACCTATACGGGGAGCCCCGCCCCCGGTCTCCCCGAGTGACGTGGCAGTCGGAAGGGCCTGATGATCATGTGACACACCGACAGCAACCCCCCCGCCATGGAGGGCGCATCACGTGATCCAGCGAGGGGCCCCGCCCCCTCAGTCGTGTGACCGTCGGGCGGGAGGGAATTCTAGCAACCGACTCTGTTTACGTCTGGCTAATGCCTGGGTAACCGCTACCGCACTCAAACGGTCCCGGAAGTGCTGGCGGTTGAGGGCGGAGGGCCGGAGCGGGACAGCAGCTGGGTCGCAGCCCGCCACCCCCTCGCGCTGCAGCTGCTCGCGCTCGTGGGGTCGCTGCGCGGGGAGGGCAAATCCCCTACCCCAACCGCCGCGCACGCGGCCGATCAGGGCGGGCCCGGCAGGTGCGGCCCCGCCCTGCCCCGCCCCTTCCTGCGCCGCCCCCCCGCGGTGCGTCATGCGTGAGGGACCGGGTTTGTCTGCGCAGGTCACGTGCCCATTTTGTTCTCGGCGTTTGTGGTCCGTTATTGCACGTGGCCAGGTGTTCTGTTGTCCACTTCGTTAGCTCCTTGGGAGCACCCGACTGGTACGTCCACAGTTGCAACATTGCTACGGTTTGTCAGTCCCTGGCAGTAGGGTTTTGGCTGCTGGAAAGTCCATTTTTCTGCTGTCAGGTATTTTCATGTGTAGTTGTGTCTCCTTGGGTGTGGCATAGAGAGTGTGGGCGCTGGTGAGGGAGCTCCTGCGTGACTTCAGCCATTCATGTGCTGCGGGATTCATAAATTTCATAGACATCAAGGCTGGAAGGGACCTCATAAGATCTTTGGGTCTAGCCCATTTTGGAAGCCAGCTAGGGTCAAAGGATCCCAGCAAGATAAACATCCAGATGTTTCTTGAAAGTGTCCAGGGGTGACCTAGTAGCAGCCTATAAGTACATAAAAGGTGTGCATCAAGATCTGGGGGAAATGCCTGTTCACCAGAGCACCCCAGGGGATGATAAGGTCCAACGTTCACAAACTACCTGCAAGCCTGTTTTAGGCTGGACATAAGGAGAAACTTCTTTACTGTCCGAGCCCCCAAGGCCTGGAACAGACTTCCCCCAGAGGTGGTGCAGGCACCTACTCTGGGCACTTCTCCAGGCTGAAGAGTCTGGTAGCTCCCAGCCTGTCTTCATAAGGCCTATTCTCCTGCCCTCTGAACATGTGTGTGGCTCTCCTCTGGGCTGTTTCAAGCTTTTCCACGTCCTTCCTAAATTGTGGAGCCCAGAACTGGATACAGTACTCCAGGGATGGTCATACAGCGAGTGTCTTGCATCTTCCATTTGTCTTAATGGTTGTATCATGCTGGGCACTACTCTTCTGATGTTAGGTGGACTGATGCCAGCCAGCAGATACACACTGTTTAGGCTGGTAGGCTTCAGATATCCTGTGATGCATCGGCAGCTCTCATTCAGAATGGGGTCAAGGCACTTGACATTTATGGATCTCTCCATACAGGGTGTGCGTAATCGGCGGAGGAGAAGCTGAGAGCCAGAGCAGTGGTTTGGATGGTTGAGGGGCTAGCTCTCCGTTTCACGTTGTTGAGCTTATGTAGAGTGTTGTTACAAGTGTTCACCTTTGCTTTTGTTTTTATTATGTGCTCTTTGTATGAGAGGGTTTGATGGAGGGTGACTCCAAGAGTAAACCAGGTTTGGATGGTGAGATAGTGGGGAACTGGATCACATAACCTTATACTGATGGTTGGCCTCATGTTTTTTGAGATGGCAGGCACATACTTCTGCTTTTGCTGGTTTGGTGCATAATGGGTTTTCAGTATAATATGAGGTTAGGGGGCAGTTATTGCCTCACTTAGGGATTTTTCATTATGGCCAAGCCAGTGTTTTGGGCTCTTACGTACAGGTTGTCTGCATAGATGAAACATTTTGTTTCCAGATCAGTTGGTTTATCATTTGTATAGATGTTATATAACAGTGGTGCAAGTATGCTTCCTTGGGGGAGGCCATTAATCTGTTGCCTCCATCTGCTTCACTTCCCATTCAGTTTGACAAAAAGAAGTCTGTTTTTGAGCAGGGTTGGTTTAGTTCTGTAAGGTATAGATCAGGGGTGTCCAACCTTTTTGAATGTGGGGCCAGATCACAAATTTTTTATCACCCAGTGGGCTGGTGAGTCATATTCAAAGACCTCACAGGAAGTGGTATCACATCAGGAAGTGATGTCACGTGACCTTTGACACCAGTGAAGTTGCAGGAAGTGACGATGAAATGGGTCTGGAAATGTGGTTTAAAATCCAAAATAAAAACAATATAAAAGCAAGAATGAAATAATACCAAACACTTGACTAAAATAAACACTTTCACTTCTACTCACTTCTCAGTGAATGAAAGAAGCATAATGCAAGTCAACAGATCAAATGTGGAAAAGATATCAGCCAGAGTGGAAACTAATCAAAGCAACAAAATATGGGCATTTTTGAGAATCTAGACTATTTATATGTAGGGTGACCATATATCCTGGATTGGCTGAGACAGTCCCAGATTTTATAGGCTGTATTCG